AAGTGATACACTCAGTAAGGAAGTGGAAAAAGGTGGTAAGAGGAAAGTTAACATGATGACAAAATCCATTAATGAAGTCAAATACTCTTTCCTTCCCAGGACTTTTCCATGGCCCAAGTCACTGCTGAACACCTGAATATGGTGAGATTACTCCTGTGTGCACACTTTTGCCAAGCTCCAATCAAAAGTCACTTTACTCCACAAGGCATGTTTTTGTGTATTAGAAGAATATACCTAACTCTTTATGTAAGCAAGTCTGGTGTCCTCTTGAACATAAACGCCAGTTAGACACTCTCACATTTAGTAAAGCCCCTCAGCCGAATGCCTCGTTGGAATACTAAGCAGAAATACACATGGTTGTAACCTTTTGTTTGTTTTTCCAGAAAATCACAGGAAGGCTGATGCTTTTGTCACATTTCACCAACAACCGATTTGCATTAGCAACCTTTGTAAAACTCCAGCTATACTTTATGCAAAGCTTATGTAAGTCCACTAGGATTAATTACCTCGCTCAGAGTCCAATTTATTTACCAATTAGGAAAATCTAGACAGTAGCTGGTGAGTTTGCTGTTTTGAAATGAAAGGCCAGAGTCCTAAGGTCTGTTCCCAGGCTAAATGCTAGTTTTAGAAATTCATTATTTGAAAGTCTCTAAACAAGTACTTTACATCGCAATCTTTTTTGCATCATTTAGCCTCCAAATAACTTCCCTGTTCAAACTGTGAGCATACTAATGAAAAAACCAAACAACTGGGAATATAAATTGTTTACATGGTAGTTTTCAGAATCAACTTTTCTTTCTCAGCCTGAATTCGTGAAACTGGTAACAGCAGTCTCAGGAAACACACCGTGACACTCTAAAATGTTGTGACACCACTGGGGAATCACCAATAAACACTATCAAGGAGAAATCTTGCCCTGTGCAGAAATCCAACAGAAGAATCAAATGCTCTCTACAAAATAAAGGGGACTTTAAAATACAATGTAATAGAGCATAATCGTGTGATTAAAAGTATGTCATACATGGGCTGTGGGGAAGGATCTCTCAGTCTCTGCAAGCCTCCCAGTGCCCCCTTCCCAGGCAGAGGAGACCTGTAGGCTGCAAAGCCCCTGGGCTGGGCAATGCTGGGACAATGAAAAACCCAGCTGTGCACAGATGGCTGCCTGGGCCATACCTCAGCCTGGCCACCCACGGGAGCCGCTCTTTCAGCACATTTACACCAGTAGTCACAAGAGACTATGTTTTTTGAAGGCAGCCTTTGGGACTTCTTACACAGCATCTGCAGCTGGGAAATCCTCCTGCGTGTACCCCATGGCTTTAGATTCCTTCCACTACCGCAACAGCCCTTGTTGCAGCAGGGCAGGTTACCAGGCCAGTTATTCAGGCTCTAGACCCAGCTTTTAGCTTTCACTCTGCCCATTCGGCTGTAAGGGCAGCTCTCAGGACCAGTGGTTTCACTGTCTATTCAACAACTTCTATTGAACTACTACAAAGCACTGCCTTGCACAGCACATGCAAATCACATCATTTCACAATATTACCAGTATTTTCTGAGGAACAGCTTGACACATATAGCACAATTCCTTGGAGCACGGTGGACGAACAACTGCTGGACAGAAGCTACGTACCAAGCATAAAGTGCAGATCTGGAGGGGCTGTAGTTACCAGGGCTCCAATGCCAACTTGCTTGAGTCAATGGGGATAGTCTGTTCTGCAGCAGCTGAGGTTTTGGCCTAAAGGAATGTAAATATTTGGATATCATGTTGCTTGATTAACTCACTAGATAACTTAATGTGAGACAGCTGAACAAAGTCTTAAAGAGATCATGCACGTTCCTAATGTAAAGCTTGCAAGAGCTCCCTTTAGTGTACTAGCTTTTCTTAAGGGACATTTAAGGTTTACATGACCCATTTTAGGGATCTTTTAGATGTGATCTGATGTACACTGGAAGTCCACTTTGCCTCTCCCTATACTTACTATATTTACAATTTTTGTGACAGAATTCCACAAGTGGATTGTGTCTGATTTCCTCACTGTTCATTTGGTTGCATATTAAAAATCTCTTAATGAATTTTCACCTATTACACTGACTGTTAAAAATAAAGCCAAGATAAGTATTTGCTGAGAAATTCTTAATGCTGTCTGCTGGCTCCAGACAGAAAGGATTCTGGCCTTCCACAAATTTTCTGAAAGAAATTTCTGAAAGTAAGTCACATTAGTGGTCCCTTTACCCCAGACATATATTGCACACTAACAGACTTCTTTCCTTATGTCCTTGCAGAGATAAGCGCATGCTAGCTCATGAAAGCCAAGTCTTGAGTTTGCATTGTAGCCCACATATTTTAGGTTTTCTGCAAATCTTCTATGATCTTCACAACCTTCTACAGCCTCCTACAGTCTCATCCACTGGGGACTATCTAATGCGTCCCAGCTACGCATCTTGGAAAATGTCAGCTAATGTGAGTAAGACTGGAGGTGCAGAAGAGGGATCTGCTGTGCATTTCCTTTCTTTCTGGTGAACTGGGAAGCAAAAGAACTGCTCTCTGGGGTGTGAATGCTTCAGAGCAACAAGGAAGCAGCAGTAGAAAAGGACACCAAGTCCTTAAGGATTCACTGCCACTTTTTCTGCTCTGAGTAATTCCCTGAGAGGGCAAGGAAAGCTGTCAGGGGTCCTCTGATTTATAGCTATTGAATGTTTGACTCTCTTTCTGCAGGAGCTGCCACAGTGGCAGTCCTAAAGACAATAGCTGGGGAGAGATACATGGGGAAAGGTCTCTGGGAAAGTAGTTCACCCTCCTTCCTCCCCCCCCTCCCCACTGGGAGGTCTGTATTTTGCTTCTGTGTCACATCAGGTGTAGGCAGCTGCTGCCCAGCACAGGCAAAACTCAAAGAGCCAGTGAACACCGGGATTTTACACCTTCCATGCTCAGACTCGGTAACAAAGCCTCTCCGCAGATTCAATACATTCAGGGGGTTTAAAGCAGGAAAAAAACCCCCCAAAGGGCTGTGCTCTATTGTCTCCGTATTGCACTGCCTCTTTAAAATCAGAAATGCATGGACAGCTTCAAGGTGCCTCCCACTGAGAAAAGGCTTTAGATGCATGCACAGAGACAGCAGAGCTATCCTCCCCTGAGCTGCAGGGCAAACCTGCTTGGGAGAGAAATGATCGTTCAGCGAAGTCCTCTGGCTGCTTTCAGTGATCCTTCCTCTGCTCCAGCAACAGCAGCACATTTGAAGGGGAGAAACTGGAGGCTATCCCCAGGGTGCCCGAGACCTCCAAGAAGACAAGAGCAACTGCAGGTACAGTTCACTGATGGTGTTATGTCAATTTGTGGATGGTTGGGTTGTCTTTATTTATTTTAAAGCGCACTGTCAGTATTTTGCAGGGAAACATTTCTGAAACAGATACTGCATCTTGCTTTGACTGACATACAGATTTTGCATCCAAGTATTTATTTAGTATTTCTCTTAAATGCATGTTCACATTTCCAGGCAGGTGTGGGAATGTCTTGTAAAGCAGTCAATTGTTTGAACTGTTATTTAGTTTCAGGCTTTGGCTTTCTGTTATTCTGTTGTTCTGCAACTCTCAGATTGAAAAGCAATGTGGAGACAGAAGTTGTACAAGAGAGTTCCTCTCAGAAATTTGTTTAGTGTTGGTACATCACGGGCTGAGGGCGGCTCCAAGGGAAAGAAGGGGGCAACAGCTCCACTATGCAGATTGTTCTTTGTAGCCATGATAGACATTGTTCAATAGCATGTGACACCCTGAAGACCTACTGCCTCAATGCAGAAAAAGTGATAATGCCCCCTGATTCTCTTCTGGGATGGGGTGGGGCTGTCCTGACCACTGGGAGTCTGGTGTGAGGACTCCCAGACCTGGCATGGGAAGATGTAAGAAGACAGCCCTCTCATCATTTTGATACAGAGTAGAGGCAAAATTGGGAAGTAGATTAGATTTTTTTTTCCTCAGTGTGGAAAATAAATCAATTTTTAACATTCGGTACAACCGGCAGTACAAAGATGGGAGTCTGTTCCTCCCTGTCTTCAAAAATTCAAGGAACTGTGTCTTGCTTAAGGAAGATTTTCCCTTTCACCTCAAGAGCCTGTTTGCAGAAGCGCTCTCCTTGTGAACAGCAGATTTGCCTTCACAGCAAAGCCCTACAAGCTGGTTCATGGGACAAAATCTTATCTATGCAAATTGGCAGAGCTCCACTGGTTTGAGAGAAGCGATAATGGATTATGCTGGCTGATAATTTGGTCCCCCTACTCAATTACTGGCTGCCAAAAAGGAAAGTGCTGGCTTTGCTATTTTCTTGGCAACTCTTACTTAATCAAGAAATGTATTTAGAAGCCAGGACATCAGTTCTCCTTTCATTCTCACCTACCACATTTCTCTGACTGAGACGTCTAGGATAAAGCAAAAACTTTGTTCAAAAGGCACATCAGATACTTTTCAGCAAATTGAGCTGTCATCTCATTTTAGTTTTTTTACCTTGCACAGGGATGACAGCACAGGGCTTAAAGGCTGGTGGAGGTTTAAACTGGATTTTACACTGCTATATTGTCATTTCACTGTGTGCTGAAAACAAAATTTCATTGTTGGTAAATAAAACTTCTGGGTGTAACAACCAGTGTATTATGCAACTCAAGGAATTTTATGATAACAGAAGCATCCTTTCACAGGGTGTTTCCTCCCACTGTGCACAGCCAGCAATATTGCTGTAGGGCAGTAAGATGGCTATTGCTTTCCCTCAAGCACAGTATTTTTGCTGTAATTTCCTCTCAGGAAATGTCTTCCTCTTTTTGTTCCCACAGAAGTAGATAAATGAGGCTGTTGCTCTATAATCTCATGGGGACAAAGGCAAGGTGACTCACTGCTCAGAAGAAAACTTTGGATGAGGTCTCTCGGCTGCCACCATCGTGCCCTGCCACCCTGGGCAATTCTAACACAAAACCAAAGGCCAGCCAAGCCACATGTGTCAAAAGAAGACAGACATAGCCATGGAGCAAGCTGAACATAACCCAAATGCTACCATCAACCTCAACTTTGCTGCAATCTACAATCTCCATGATGGGGATTTAACCTCCTTGCGAAACTTCTCCTTCCCTTTCAATTTCAGTTACAGTGATTACGACCTGCCACTGGACAGTGAAGATGACATGACCAAAACCCGCACCTTCTTTGCAGCCAAGATCGTGATCGGGGTGGCTCTGGTTGGCATAATGCTGGTCTGCGGCATTGGCAACTTCATCTTCATTGCTGCTCTTGCCCGCTACAAGAAGCTGCGAAACCTCACCAACCTGCTGATTGCCAACCTGGCCATCTCAGACTTCATTGTGGCCATCGTGTGCTGCCCCTTTGAGATGGACTACTACGTGGTGCGGCAGCTGTCCTGGGAGCACGGCCACGTCCTCTGTGCCTCAGTCAACTACCTACGGACTGTCTCCCTCTACGTTTCCACAAATGCTCTCCTGGCTATAGCTGTTGACAGGTAAGTTGGGTGCTATGACTGCACAAGGAGATGGCCAGAGCTTCTGAGGTTGGCTGTCCAGATTTCTAGGTTTTTGACATGCTCAGCTGTTCTGCAGGATTTGCTGATGTCCAGGTAGGTACTACACAGACCTGGGCATCTTGCTCCATAGAAATTTAATCACATGAGGTCATAACATTACCCCAGACAAAACTCAGTGGAAATTCCTTGATTGAACTTTTCAGGTGAGAAGAATGTTAATTTAATAATATTATTTTTTTCTCTCATAAAAATATGCTTGATTCAAGTGTAGAAGAGGAATA